GGGCTGGCGGGGCTGGCGGGATGGGGTTCAGTGGAGAAGCTGGTGACCATTTGAATGGTGTCCACTCATTCATTCAACACACGCCTCTCGAGCAGCAGGCGGGACTCTGGCAGAGGAGGTGGGGCTCACACGTGCCCGCTCGCACCCAGTCCTGGCCGGCTCTAACCTGGGGCACTCGGAGGCTTCCTCAGAGCAGGTTCTCGGAAGATGGAGCCCCAGGGAGCCCACGAGCGTGCGAGCCTGGAACCCGCCGTGCCAGCCCTGCTGCTGTGATCCCAGCCAGGGGCCAAGGAGCCAGACCGAGCAGGAGAGTGGCACAAGCTCACGCTGGGGCATCAGCAAGTAAGGGCGCTGACCTGTACCTGGGGCTTCAGAAGACAGTGACACCACCTGCTGTGGACTGAACTGTGTCTCCCCAAAGCCATATGTTGAGGCCCTAACTCCCAATGCGACTGTATTTGGAGACTGGGCCTTTAAGGAGGTGATTTAGGTTACAGGAGGTCGTGAGGGTGGGGCCCTGATCCTACAGGGCTGGTGCCGGGTAAGAGGGGGAAGAGACACCAGGCTGCGTCTGTCTGTCTCTGCCTCTCTGTCTCCATCACGCGAGCACACAGCAAGAAGGCAGCCGCCTGGCCCTCGCCAGTGTGGCTCAATGGTTAGTGTTGCCCTGCAGACCGAAGGGTCCCGAGTTCGATTCCAGCCAAGGGCACATACCTTGGTTGCAGGTTCGATCCCTGGCCCTGGTCGGGGTGCGTGCCAGAGGCAACCAATTGATGTGTCCCTCTCACATAATTATTTCTCTCTCTCTCTCCCTCCCACTCTCTGGGAAGCAATGGGGAAAATATCCTCAGGTGAGGATTAAAATAACAACAACAACAATAAAGAAGGCAATTCTCAGGAAGAGAGCCCTCACCTGGAGGGACCCACATTGGCCTGCACCTGACCTGGGACTTCGGGCCTCGGGGAAGGTGAGACAGCTGCCTGCGGTGGCATTTTGTGGCATTTAGTCCGGCAGCCTGAGCTGCCCACGACCCAGCCCCGACCCGGGCGGTCAGACTTGCTGGACCTTGTCTGCTGCTCACACCTTCCTGATTTTCTTATATTTAAAGGCAGCAGAGTAGGGGGGTTAGGGAAGGTCCAGGGGTCCAGACCCCTGTGTTCAGTTCCCAGATCTGCAGTTTACTAGCTGGGCAACTTGGGGGTGTTGTCCCCCGGTCCTGACCTGAGGTTCCAGTCTGTACAGCAGGGTGACAGCAGCCCCCTGACAGCCCCCCCTTTAAGGTGACCGTAACCCTCCCTCAGTCTGATAGTGGGGGGCCCTGCTATCTCCTCTGCTTCTGGACAGCTGGAGGTCCTCGCCCCCCAGCCTGGCCGGCCAGGAGCTCCAGGCTGTGAGGGTGGGGGTTCCGGTCACGGGGCCCCCTGAAGCTCTGGGGGAGCGGAGCCCGGCCAGCTGGGCAGCCGGGCTGCCCATCGCGGGTTCCGCGCCTGGGCCCGGGGGGGCTCGCGCTCCTCTAGGGGCGTGTGACTCGGGTGCCCGCCTCCCGGCCACCTGCCTGGCCCCACGCAGACTGCGTCTCCCTCTGCCCTTCAAAAGCCTTCCGAGGGGACCGTCCCGCCCCGGGGGCCGGAATCCCAAAGAACCGGGGCGCAGGGAGAAACCTGGGGAGCAGGGCGCCCGCGGCCCCAGGCTGCAGGCGACGGGGGCGCGGTGCCAGCGGGGACGGTGCACGGAGCCGTCGGGGAAGGCGAGCCAAGGCCGGTTCCTCCTGGGGCGTAAGAGGCAGGGAGGGCTGAGCTGCCCGAGGACGGGGCCCGGGCCCGGGGCCTGGGGTGAGGGGGGTGCCCCCTGGCGCCCCG